CTTTGCTCTGATACCATGTCAGAATCCCAACCACTAGACCATTGGGATAAAAGGGCTTGTTAAGTAGCGGGTCAGTGCGCCCATAACCCCCCAGGACAACAAGCCTGTAACCCTTCCCTAGGATCAATCGGGGATCACCAGTGGACCTCTGACAATGCTTGCCTGCCTTTACTTTATCATGCTATTTCTAGCATAGGATAATTATATGCTTGCATGAATTGCTTAATTTCCTAGGCTAGGTGCTTTCCTATATTTTATTATAGTTATAGCACCGAGCTAGGTTGCGTGCACCGAATTCTGGCTTTTCGGTTGCCACCGAATTGCCTTCTACTGAATTCGGGAAGGATCTGTTCGGGACGCTTCGCGACCCGCGGAACCTTCGCGTAACACCTGGTTACTGGGCCTTGTGTCGAGCCTATATATAGCCCCGTGTTATACCCAAGTGATCATTCAATTCACTTTCTCTTTTCTAAGCTCGATCCTAGATCCTAACACTTGGTAATCACAGCCCGTTTACACGCGAAAGTTTTTCGACCGCTAAAACCGAGTCTTCAAAAACGCGGGGGCGACGCAGTTAAACATCGATTTCGGGTACGTAAAACTGGTTCCGTGTTTTTTGCTCCCCCTCGTTTCGGGTTTTTCAGACGCGTAATGCCAGGCATGGAGGGCCAAGGCGACAACTACGCGACCACGAGCGACATCGCGAGCCTCCGCACCGACATGGAGCAGACGCAGGCGGCGCTACGGCGACTCGAGACCCTTCTGACACACCAACCAGGAATCGCCACTGCAGCAGCAGCGAACGTAGCAGCAGCAGCGAACGTAGCAGCGACAGCACCTGCAGTAGTGGCGACACCGACATTTCACGGACTGATGGCACCACTGTCGCCGAACCTCGAAGCAGCACGACCGAGGCTCCCTGAAGCGTTCGATCCCAGCGCGAAGGAATTGACGTCCGGCGATTCGTGGCAACCCTCGAAATTTACTTCCAGGCCATTGGCTGTTCGACCCCGCAACACGACGCAACAAGAATTCGGCTCGCAGCGACATTGTTAAGTGGACTGGCACTCGAATGGATTTATTACACTGACGTAGCCCGCTGGGAGAAAACGTGGCAGCAGTTTCGGGCAGACTTAATCGAGCGTTTCGAACCCATTAAAACGACCTACATGGCGCGGCAGCAGATACACCATCACAAGCAATACAGTAGTGTAGCACAGTACACGCAGCAGATGGAGCTCCTGTTCAATCGCATCACCGACCTGACCGAAGGCGAAAAAATCCAGGCGTACACAGAAGGGTTAAAATTGGAGTTTCGCCAAGAGGCCATCGCAGTGAATTGCAACTGTAACCACGACATCGTGCGTGCTGCCGAGCGGTACGACTGATTGACTCGAGGTCAATCCGAAACACGACGCTTCACGCCGAACCGTACATTCGGCACGGAGCGATCGGCACCCCCCACGTTCGCCGAACCGATGGATATCGACAAATACGACGCGAAGCAGCAGCCGACAAAATGCGAGTTTTGCGGCGCAGCACGGCATCAGTTTTTGTCGTGCTACAAAATGAAGAAAGCACGTTCAGCACTCCGGGACGGTAAGAGTGGAGCACCCCCGAAGTAAAAAAACGGGAATCGCCAGTAGTCGCGGATCGTCCTGGCGATCGCGTAAAGATCCGAAAAGCAGGACAAGGCGACGACGTGGCGACTTCGGAGCGGGTGAAAAAAGGAGAAAATGATGGCGCGAATATAAAACGTCACGACCGGCCGACATCAGGGGAAATCGCCAAGGCAAATGGAGGCTCCGCGAAGAAAGACTCTCCACCGACCAGGAAACTCCAGCTGAGCACCCACGAAAGTAAGAATTCGTTAAAAGTATCCTATAAAGATACTCTTAACGGAAAATATTGCTTCTCGTGGTTTTCAAGCCTTTGAAAAATTCAGGGGAGATTTAGAGGCCAAGAAAAAGCCTTTAGAAATTATTCAGGTACCTGAGAAGTTGGGCAAATTACTACGGAGCGTAGAAAAGGGTCGTGCGTTCCGTGGAAATAATATTCTCTCCCCGCAGCACAGTGTTAAGGCTTCCCTTAGCCCACAGGTGAAGCCTACACAGCTGCCAAGGCTTAGAGGAAAATTTCAGGCTCCTGAGAAGCTGTACAAGCCTCGGAAAAATCCTCCTACCCCCCAGGTGAAGTTGGAAGAGAAAAGTGCTGAGTCAGGTATAGGAAATAGGGATGGTATTCACTTTGATGTACCCTATGATCCTATCAATGAGACCCTCTTTGGCTACTCAGCGCAGCAGGCACCACTACTCGTCCAGGTGTTATGCAAAGGACGACACCTCCAGGCACTGGTGGACAGCGGTGCATCTCACTCGGTGTGTGACCGCGGGACGTTGGAGAAAATTGGGGAACCTTCCGAGGAGACCAAGTTCTCGGCAACGATGGTGGACGGTACAAAACTTCCCATCCACGGCAAAGCATCACTGCAGATGCACATAGGGGCACTAAGGTGGAAGCCGACGTAGCCGATCATGAACATCAAAGGGTTAGAGTTCATCTTGGGGCGAGATTTCTTGAAGCGGTTCAACCCCGAGATCGACTGGGTCAACAGGAAGGTGTGCATCTACAACAACGCGAAGCGGATAGCACTACGAAGCTGGACGGATACAGGGGACGTTCCTGAAACGACACTGGCACGATTTGAACAGACGGTGAACGAGAATAACACGGGATACCTAGCACTGGTTATGGCAGCAGCAGAGGAGGAGAAGCCGAACGAAGAACTACCTGCAGCAGTGAAGGAGGTCTTGGAGCAGTACAAGGATATAATGCCCGACGACCTACCTGCAGGCGTACCCCCTGCACGCACCCACGAGCACGAGATCGTGGAGGAACCAGGTGCAAAACCCGTCTCACGTGCACCATACCGACTGAGTCCGACCGAACTGACAGACATGAAGAAACAGATCGAATATCTACTGGACAGACAACTGATCCACCCATCCACCTCTCCCTACGGTGCACCAGTTCTCTTTACTCCAAAACCAGACGGCAGTCTATGGATGTGCATCGACTACCGCGCACTGAACGAACAGACACTTCAAACAAATACCCCATACCGCGCATAGACGACCTACTCAACCAACTGCGTGGTGCAACAGTCTTTTTGAAGCTGGACCTACGGTCGGGTTACTGGCAGATCAAGATGGCGGACAACTCGATCCACAATACGGAGTTCCATACGAGATACGGCTCCTATGAATACTTGGTTATCGCCGTTCGGACTCTGCAACGCACCAGCAACGTTTCAGGCGGAGATGAGTCACATCATACGGCCCCTGTTGGACGAGTGCGTGGTGGTGTACCTGGACGACATTCTTATCTACTCCAAGAACATGAAGGAGCACGTGGAGCATCTAGGGAAGGTGTTCGAGATCCTGCGGAAAAACAAGTTCCACGTGAAGCTGTCGAAGAGCGACTTCGCCCTGAAGAAGGTGTAGTTTCTCGGGCGCATGGGGAGTGCGGAGGGCGTACACGTGGACCCGCGGAAGATTGAAGCCGTCAAGAAATGGAAAGTAATGGAGAACGTGAAGGAGTTGCAGCAGTTCCTAGGCTTCGCTAACTACTACAACAGGTTCGTGCCGCAGTATGCTAAGATAGCAGCGCCACTGACCGACCTACTGAAAAAGGATACGCCCTACAAATGAGATACTCCTCATCAACAAGCCATGGAGCAGCTACAGACAGCACTGACTACATCGCCAGTACTCATCCTACCGGACCCAGACAAGGACTACGTGGTAGAAGCAGACGCTAGTGACCAAGCAGTCAGAGCAGTACTGATGCAAGATCACGAGAACGGTTTACAACATATCGCCTAACTCAGTAAAAAGTTACACGGAGCGGAACTGAACGACACCATCCACGACAAGGAAGCCTTAGCTATAGTCGTAGTTTTCAAGACGTGGAGGTGTTACCTAAAAGGAGCAAAGACTACAGTCTATACTGACCACTGCAGTCTCAAATACCTTGATAAGAAACGAGGAATGAGTGCATTGAGCAGAATGAGGAGTACAAGTAGTAAACCCTTAAGTGTTGTACCCAGTTTGAACTGCCCCATTACAGCCTACACAGACTATAGCATATATGCCTGACACACCCCCATAGGCAAAGTGGGGGAGAACAAGGGGTCACAAGACCAGTCAAGCAAAGCAAGGCAAGCTCAGGGTGGATCAGAACGTCACCACACAGTCCGAGCACAAGAGCAAGGCCACAAGGCCAGTTCACATGCAAGATCATACATATAAAGGTAAACAAGCAAGTGCAGGTATAGAAAGAGTACAGTACAAACAAGGTCAAGAAGTGAGCAAGTGAGGCCAAGTAGGCACAAGACCTAGCATAGCACAAAAGCGCTGATGATCACAAGGCGGAAGGGCCTTGGTAAAGATATCAGCACTGCTGGCCTCAGAGGCCACGTAGGTGAGGCGGAGCTGACCACGCTGCTGCAGCTCACGAGCCAAGAAGTAGCGAAGAGCAATGTGCTTCGTTCTGTGCTCCAGTCTGTGCTCCCGACACAAGGCCAGCATGGCCTTGTTGTCTACGTACAGAACTGGAGGAGAACGAGGCGGCTCTCCTAGGTCAGTCAGCAGGTAGGTGAGCCAGCGTAGCTCCTGTGCAGCCATGGCCCCCGCGTAGATCTCAGCCTCACAGCTGGAGGTGAGAACAGAAGACGAGCGGGTAGACCGCCACGAAACAGAGCCGGAGCCAAGGCTGAAGGTCTAACCCTGTGACGACCGCTGTGTCGGCTGGTCGTCAGCCCAAGAAGCGTCTGCGTGACCTAAGAGGACCACTCGACATCGCCCTCCAAGCACTAGCCCCATGCCCGACGTACTGCACACGTAGCGCAACACCCTCTTCGCAGCAGCCATGTGCTCTGGTTGGTGTCTCCCAGGAGCAACATAGCGTGCCAAGATGCTAAGAGGGTATGCAAGGTCAGGTCATGTGCAGGTCATCAGGTACATGAGGCAGCCAACAAGCTCTGGGTACGGGCCACTCAGCTCTACGGACTCATCTGAAGGCAGAGCTGAGAGCGAGTGGCGAGTAGACAGAGGAGTGGCCTGAGGCGAGGAGTACGTGAAGCCGAAGCGCTGAAGGTCCTGCTGCACCATGTGTGACTGAGTTAGGGTAATGGAGCGCTGTGCTTTGTCCCAGGTGATCTTCAAGCCAAGGTAGCTGCGCAGTTCACCCATGTCTGTGCACGTGTGTCTCTTCTGCAGCTCGGACTTCACGTGGGCGAGTCCAGCAGTGTCAGCAGTGGCAAAGACCAAGTCGTCGACGTACACGAGGATGTAGAACGGCGGCAAAGAGGTGTCGGTGCGCAGAAACAGCGACGGGTCGGCTGTAGAAGGAGCAAACCCAAGAGCCGCAAGTGTAGTCCTCAGTGTGTCGTGCCACTCACGGGGCGCCTGGCAGAGACCGTAGAGTGGCCGCCGGAGGCTCCACTGGGTACCTGGAGGAAACGACCCAGTGAAGCCAGGTGGGCGGCGCAGCCAGATCTCCTCGTGCAGGCTGCCTTGCAAGAAAGCTGTGCTGAAGTCAAGAGAGTGAAGCTCGTAGTCGCGCTGAGCGGCTATGTGCAGCAGCACCCGAAGAGTGGTCATCTTCGGGGTGGGAGAGAAGGTCTGAAAGTAGTCAACTCCCTGCCGGTGACTGAAGCCTCGAGTCACGTAACGCGCCTTGAAGACAGGTGGAGAACCCGGCGGCCGCTTCACCCTGAAAATCCACATGCCACTGACGATGTTCGCCCCAGGTGGGGGAACCTCGTCAACGTAGGTGCCTGTGGACTTCCACGAAGCCATCTCTGCGTCCATGGCTGACTGCCACTGAGAGGAGTAGGGACCCTCGATCGCCTCAGCGTACGATCATGGAGTCGGGATGTCTGGTGCATCCGGGTGTCCCTCAGGGGCAAACAGCGTGGACACGAGATGAGGCAAAGCAGCAGCAAAACACTGGAACTCCTCCTGCCTGTCCTCAAGGACGTCCGTGCTAAGAGCACACTCACCCCCGACAGACAGAGGACAGACAGACTCAGACTCAGCAACGAGACTAGTGGTGTAGTCAAGACGACAGCGAGCAGCAAAGACGACAAGCTCAGCAACTAAGGCAGACGCACGCAGCAGTGGACTCAAAGGAAGGGTCAGTGACAACAGTGGCCAGGAGACGCGTGACAGTAGGACTAGCAGCACGAAGAGAGTCAGACTCAGGGTCAGGAAGGACAGGAAGAGAGGACTCTGGAGGAGACGGCAACGGGACACGAAGGGGAGTAGTGGAAGGATGCTGTGCCATCTGGTGTGTGCCCGGAACCGCAGGAGGACGCTGACGCGGAACTCGACGAGTAGTGCGAGCAGTGCGAACAAGCGACGCAGGACGAGACGCAGGCTCACGATGCTCATCAAGACCTCCAGTAGGACCAGTGTAGGGAGAAGGAGCAGGTAGAGGGGAGGCGGGCTGTAACGGTGACTACGACTGGACAGGCTGTGGACAGTCTAAGGAAGGAGCAGGACCAGTAGAAGGCGGGAGACCAAGAACCTGCTCAAGGAGCGGAACGAAGTACGGCGGCGGCCGCGCAGCGCCTCCAGAACCAGCAGGGACAGCACCAGTACCCCCAGCGGTAGCACCAGCGCCACCAGCACCTCCAGCTCCAACAGCGCCAACTCCAGCATCCTCAGACGCACCAGCGCCAGCAGAACCACCAGCGCCAACACCCTTAGCAGCTCCAGCTCCAGCAGCTCTAGCAGCACCAACTCCAGCAGCCCCAGCAGCACCCCCAGGCCAAGCAGCTCCAGCACCGCCAGTACGAGCACCTCCGGGACCAGTAGCAACAGTAGGACCAGCTCCAGCAGCACGGCTCCAGCGGCGAGCAAACCACTCGCGCAGCTCCTGCTGAGAGAGTAGCTCCCGCCTCGACGAAGCACCACGAGAGGCCACACGAGCAGACCCAGCACCCCCAGGCTCCGCACCCCCAGGCTCAGCACCCCTAGGCTCAGCACCCCCAGGCTCAGCACCCCCAGGCTCAGCACCCCCAGACTCAGCACCCCCAGGCTCAGCACCCCCAGACTCAGCACCCCCAGGCTCCGCACCCCCAGGCTCAGCACCTCTAGACCCGGCACCCGCATGCTCAGCACCTCTAGCAGCACCAGAGCCAACAGCTACCTCGACAGGCTCGACTGCGTCTACCTAGGACACACTTGACGGGGCAGGACCCTGAGGGGGAGGGGGTCTACCGGGGGAGGACCTGGCGCAAGGAAGAGCGGCGGCAGGGGGAGGGGCACAGTGTGGTAGGGGAAGAGACGGTAGTAAGGCACCGACTCGTCAAAGGTGACGTCCTGGGAGGACAGAACACGGCGCGAGGTGGGGTGGTAAAACTGCCATCCAGGCGCGTCAGGGGGGAAGCCAAGGAAGACGCAGGGAACACAACGGGGGGACAGCTTGTCCGCAGACAAGTCGCGGACAAACGCCCGAGATCCCCAGACCCGAAATGCAGACGCATCGCCAACCTTCCCCGTCCACCGCAAGGTGGGGGAGGTCTCTGGCAAGGAGACCCGGGGCTGAAGGTTGAGCTGATGCGCCGCGTACTGAACCGCAAACAGCCACAGAAAATGGGGGGTTGCCCCATGGATCATGGACGTACGAGCGACGTCCATGACCATGCCAATGCGGCGCTCAGCAATCCCATTTTGCTGTGGAGAGGCCGGAAGCGTGAAGGTCTGGTGGATGCCTTGTGCACGTCAGAAGGCTCCCAGACGGGCAGAGGAAAACTCCCCGCCTCTGTAAGAGTGCAGACGCAGAACAGGAAAGTCGGAGCCGAAACTCTCTTTGAGCTGGAGACGAGCTGCGCGGATCCAGTCGATCAACACCTCAGTGACGTCGCCCTTACTGCGCAAGGGGAAGACCGTGGTGTAACGCGAGTAGTCGTCAACCACCAACAGGAAGTAATGCTCGTGCCCCTGGCCACGGACGCGGGCGGGGCCCCACACGTCCATGTGAAGAGTCTGCAGCGGAGCCTTTGTCGGAGGAAACTCGGAGGAGTGAGGGGCGGCGCGCTGTCGCCCCTCGACGCAGGGGACGCAGGTAGGGGCAGGCCTCGGAGGTAGAGGAGGGAGAGACCGGGGGAGACCAGAGACAAGGACACGGGAGGCCATGCCTCGGAGACGAGGCATAGAGGGGTGACCAAGGCGGTGGTGCCAAAGGAGAGTCTGGTGAGACAGGAGACGACACGAGCAGGGAGCAGACTCAGGACTAGACCTGGACGCTGCAGCAAACACCTGACTCGACACAGCGACTTGACCAGGCTCAGCAGCCGGAGGAGACTCAGTAGTGAGGGTGTACAGGCTCGACCTCGGCCGATGGGTGAACGTGGCCAAGTGTCGGCCTGTCCGAGCACACGTGCAGTGGGTCACCCGCTGTCTCGCAGGAGTGAACTGGTCAACCCCCCTATCCTGTAGATCAGCTCCACTCACCAAGTTCGTAGAGAACGAGGGGAGGTAGAGACCTGACAGGGTGCCAGAGGGGGCTGCCGGACACGGTAAGACAGTGGAGAAGCGAGCAAGGACAGGACCCCCAGAGGGGTCCGCCAGGGTGCTGTCTCGAAAGAAGGAGCGAGAAGCACCCGAGTCAAGGGTGAAGGTGTGTAAAGCCTGAGCCGACGTGGTACCTGAGAGGGCAGACTCACCAGCACCTGGGGCAGCAGACGCGCTAGCACCTAGAGCAGCAACCTCACCAGCACCTAGAGCAGTTGTCTCAATGCCCGGGTCAGGCGGAACACACAGGTAAGAGTCACCCTCAACACTATCAGCAACAGCATACATGGCAGCAAGAATAGCATCAAAGTCAAGATCAAAGATAGCAACCCCCGCCCTAGACAGCTCTCCCTAGTGAGGGATCTCAGAGGCCTCAGGGAACTGGTGACGCCACGCGTCCGTCAGGCGGCCGAAGCAGCGCTGGGTGGAGTGTGGGCCCCCGCACTGCTCACCAGCGCGGTCGCCGGTGCGGAGAACGTAGGTGCAGGGACTCGTACCCCCACCGCGCTGACGCGCATCGTACCACTCACGAAGCTGCTGAGGGGACAGGGTCTCACGACTGCGCTGCTGCTGTTGGCGCGTACCTCCACCGGAGCCACTCCTCTGCGCAGAGCTGCGACCTGGTTCACTGCTGCCGCCGCCGCCTCCGCCACCTCCGCCGCCTCCGCCGCCTCCACCACCTCCGCCGCCTCCGCTCCCTCCGCCACCGCCGCCGCCTCCTCCGCCTCCACTGCTGCCACCGACACCTCCACCCCCGCCACCACTCCCACCACCACCCCCACCCCCTCCACTGCCTCCACCACCACCTCCACCGCCCCCGCCAGCCCCTCCAGCGCCCTTGCCCCCCTTGCCCTTGCCGGTGTGGCGTCTCCCGCTCGGGGCAGACGCAGCGCCGTCCGACTCGAAACCAACGAGGTCGGCCGCAGCAGCAGAGGCAACAGAGGGCAAGAGGGGGGAGGGAGAACACCCCTCAAAGACGGGGGTGCGAGGGTCACCACGAGCGGCTCCTACAGTGACTATGCTCTTCTCTGCTGCTAGGAGGGCCTTCCCGAGGAGGTCAACGGTGAGAGTGGTGGGGAAAATTGAGAGGAAGTGGTTTCTGACTACGCGGAGAGAGTCAGGGAGGCGAGTGACTATGTAGTAGAGGGTGATGTACATGGGGGGGGGGGGGGGGGGGGGGGGGGGGTTCTTGGTGCAGAACTCAGCAGGAAGCGCAGCGCGGTAGCGAGTGTCACTAGTGCGGAGATGCGTAATGAGTTCAGCGACTGTGGGAAAGGCAGGAAGGTCAGGGAAGAGGTACGGTAGCATGAGGCGGCTCAGTGCAGCAGTGGCAGGGGAAGAGTAGCGTGCAACTACAGTGTCGTACAAGGTCTGAGCACTCTTGTACTGGCTAAAGTGTGCACGCTCAGTGGTCGGTAAGTGGCGACACACAATAAGGCGAGCAGCAGCATCGCATGTGGCCCACTGTGAGCGAACAGTGCTGTCAGCAGTAGCAGGCGGGGCAGGAGAGGCACCGGAGGTGAGATCGAACAGAGCGGGTCCGTCTGCCCTATCGCACTGGAGGAATAGCTGGAGGTCATCGACCTAGACCTCAAAGACAACGGCACGGCCCTCAGCATCAAAAGTAAGGACACGGGGGGTAGCCATGACTGTAGAGGCCTAGTAGGGAGTGAGCTCACCAGTCCGAGGAAGGAGGGCCGGGGCGCACCGGTAGGAACAACAGCGGCTCGATAGTAGGGCGGCTCGGCAGCTCGGCGGCTCGCCGGCAGGGCGGCTCGGCTGCTGGGCGGCTCGGCTGCTAGGCGGCTCGGCGGCTCGGCGGCTCGGCTGCTGGGCGGCTTGGCTGCTGGGCGGCTTGGCTGCTGGGCGGCTCGGCTGCTGGGCGGCTCGGCTGCTGGGCGGCTCGGCTGCTCAGCAGGTGGGCGGCCCGGCTGTTGGGCTGCTCGGCGGCTCGGTCGCTGGGCGGCTGAGCGGTGATAGGGCCGCTGGGGGAGGGCGACGGGGCCGCAGGTGACGGCGACGGGGCCGCAGGTGGCGGCGATGGGGCCGCAGGTGGCGGCGACGGGGTCGCAGGTGGCGGCAGGGCCGCAGGTGGCGGCTGCGTGGCCGCAGGTGGTGGCGACGGGGCCGCAGGTGGCGGCGAAGGGGCCGCAGGTGGCGGCGACGGGTCCGCAGGTGACGGCGACGGGGCCGCAGGTGGCAGCGACGGGGCCGCAGGTGGCGGCGACGGGGTCTTAGAGGGGCCGCAGAGAAGCCGCAAGGGGCCTAGAGGGGGCCGCAGAGGGGTCGCAAGGGGCCTAGACGGGGCCGAAGATGGGCCGCAAGGGGCCTAAACGGGGCGGCGACGGGGCCGTAAGGGCGGCGTGAGGGGCCGTAAGGGGCCGTAAGGGCGGCGTGAGGGGCCGTAAGGGGCCGTAAGGGCAGCGCGAGGGGCCGTAAGGGGCCGTAAGGGCGGCGCGAGGGGCCGTAGAGGGCGGCGTGAGGGGCCGTAAGGGCAGCCAAAGGGGCCGTGAGAGGGGCCACTAAGGGCGGCTCGAAGGTGGGGAGAGCACACAAAGCGCGACTCGGGCAGGAGTGAAGCGCGCTCTAGGCAGGAAAAAAAAAAATATCGTGGTGGGCCCTAGGTAGCGTTCCCACTAGGGAACCTGCTCGATACCATGATAAGAAACGAGGAATGAGTGCATTGAGCAGAATGAGGAGTACAAGTAGTAAACCTTAAAGTGTTGTACCCCATATGAACTGCCCCACTACAGCCTACACAGACTAAAGCATATATGCCTGACATACCTGAAGTTGCAGCCGACACTCTCTCGACGACAGGTGCGGTGGGTGGACTTCCTGGAAACTCACTACCACTACGACATCGTCTACAAGCCCGGGCTACACAACAAGGCAGACGCGTTGAGCCACCCCGGACATGTAGCAGGCATCCAGCTCGACGGGATGAACCCTCTGCTCAAGGGTCTATTCCAACATGGGTACTCTGTAGACGCAGAGATCGCTACAGCACAAACCAAGAAGCTGTTACAGTGGGAGAAAGACTTAGCTGTAAGGAAGGATTTAGGAAAGATTTGGGTACCGAATTACGCCCCGCTACGGCAGATCCTATTGGAGGAGTTTCACGACGTACCTTACGCGGGACATTTTGGGAGCAAAAAGACGTTATCAAGGATAGCGAAGTATTACTACAAGCCTGGGATGGCAGCAGACGTGCAGCAGTTCGTCACCTCTTGCGACACGTGCCAGCGGATGAAGAGTAGCAAGCAGAAAAAAGCAGGGTTACATCAGCCTCTACCCGTACCGGAGCAGCCATGGCAGGTCGTTAGCCTCGACTTTATCACAGGACTTCCTTCGACCTCACGGGGGCACGATTCCATCCTTGTAGTGATCGATAAGTTCTCCAAAATGGGTCACTTCATACCGACCAACGCCACAGCTATAGCTGAAGCAACTGCTCGCCTCTTCTTCGACCGCATCATCACCATCCACGGCATCCCCGCTATACTCATCTCAGACATAGATCCAAAATTCACTAGTAAGTTCTGGAAGGAGCTCATGGGATTATTCGGTACCAAACTTGCGATGTCCTCAGCATACCACCCACAGACTGACGGACAGCCAGAGCGACTCAATCAGGTGGTTGAACAGTTACTGCGCACAGCTTGCAAAGACGACGTCAGCCACTGGGACACACAGTTACCGACACTAGACTTCACTTACAACAACGCATCACATGCGGCCACAGGGAAAACTCCTTTCTTCCTGTGTTACGGACGGGAACCACTCACACCACAACAGCCAACCACACCGGCACACGTCCAAGCCGCACATGACTTCGTCACCACCATGCAGCAGCTATGGGAGAAAACTGAGCGACGTCTCACCACGATGCAGAACTCCCAGAAGTAGTATGCCGATCGTCAGCGACGTGATCACTCAGTAGCAGTCGGAGATCAGGTGCTTCTTGACACGCGCAAATTGAACCTGTCTCACCTTCCATCCAAACTCCGGCCTCGCTTCTGTGGTCCTTTTCTCGTTGAGGCACAGGTGACACCAGTTACATTCCACTTGCGCTTACCAGATACATGGAAGCTTCACAACGCTTTCCATGTCCAGCTATTGAAGCCCTACAAGGACCCCAACCAACAGTTCCAGGGACGGCAGCTACCGCCACCACCACCTGTTCTGGTACAGGATAAACCCGAGTACGAAGTGGAGCGCGTTCTCACTCATCAGCGCCGCGGTGGCAAGACCCTCGAGTTCCTGATACGCTGGAAGGGATACGACCCCACTGAGGACAGTTGGGTTGCAGAAGCTGATATGGGCAACGCACGACGTGCTCTCAAGGAATATCTTGTCAAGCAGGGTGTATCTCACACCACCCAGCTTTGGGGGGGGACGTGTGAGAGTACGACGGCTTATGCCAGCTATGCTTGCTTGCCTTTAGTTTATCATGCTATTTCTAGCATAGGATAATTATATACATGCATGAATTGCTTGATTTCCTAGGCTAGGTGCTTTCCAATATTTTATTATAGTTATAGCACCGAGCTAGGTTGCGTGCACTGAATTCTGGCTTTTCGGTTGCCACCGAATTGCCTTCTACCGAATTCGGGAAGGATCTGTTCGGGACGCTTCGCGACCCGCGGAACTTTCGCGTAACACCTGGTTACTGGGCCTTGTGTCGAGCCTGTATATAGCCTCGTGTTGTACCCAGGTGATCATTCAATTACAATTCTCTTTTCTGAGCTCGATCCTAGATCCTCACAGCTCTGGAGCTGTTTCGTGGTGGTCCACGGGTTCCTCATCGGTCTCGATCTCTACTGCTGAGGCTGAGATCTACGCTGGAGCCATGGCTGCACAGGAGTTGCGCTGGTTGACCTTCTTGCTCACAGACCTTGGTGAGCGGCCGAGCTCAGCGCCGACCTTGTTTACTGACAACAAGGCTACGATTTCTCCTCTGTCAAGAGCCTCGACTGGAGAGTAGAGTGAAGCACATCAACATCAGGTATTTTTTTATGCGAGAGTTGCAGAGGCATGGACAGGCTCGCTTGGACTTTGTGGAGTCCGAGGCCAACACTGTAGACATCTTCACCAAGGCTCTTCCGCCTTGTGACCACCACAGGTGTTGTGTGCAGTTAGGTCTCGTTGACACACGTTCTTGTCTTGTATAGAGTTTGCTGGTTTTGTTGTACACTTTGCATATACCTCAGTGAACACTTGGATTGGCATTGCGGCCCTTTTGCTTGTGCTCGGATTCTGTGGTGACGTTGTGATCCACCTTGAGCTTTGTTTCTTTGTGACTGGTCTTGTGACCGTACGGATTTGGTTTTGCTTGACACCCCTCACTTAGGCTATGGGGGTGTGTCAAATGGTGTAGCCTTTAGTGATGCGTGTCATATGGGGTAAAGCAGTTAGGGTTAGGTTTATGTACCCCAACCCACAATAGTCAATCATCACTTGAGTTTCTAACAGCACACGGTATAGCACAATTAAGGCTTGCACTTGTATCACCGATCTCCCTTACCCAATCGTTCCGCTACTCTGAGATGGCATCACACTAAGTTCGTTCTAGGCTTCTTACCTCTGTTCTAGCCTGTTAGCTCCATAGCATGCCCTCCCCTTCCTTCGTAGCAAACCCTCCCCTCCCAGCCGCCCCTGCTAGCGTAGCGCGCGCCTGAGCCAGAGCAGCGCGTGCCCCTCCCTGGCCAGCGCGCGCCCTTCATCCAGCCCCGCCAGAGCAGCGCGCACCCCACTAGAGTAGCGCGAGCTCCAGCCAGAGCAGCGCGCACCCTAGCCAAAGCAGCGCGCACCCCGCCAGAGCAACGCGTGCCCCAGCCAGAGAAGCGCACGCCCCAGCCAGAGCAGCGCACGCCCCTCCCCTGGCCAGCATGCGCCATTCACCCAACCTGCGCGCGTACTCCTGCCTGGCCAGCGTGCACTCCAGCTAGACCAGCGCGCACGCAAGCAGCCCGCCACAGCCGCCGCTGCTGCAGCAGCCTGCCCATGCTCGAACCGCCGCTACAGCAGCCCACCGTGCGCGCTGCCACTGTAGCAGCCCGCTGTACCACCAGTGTCGTGCCCGCGCGCGCGCACAGCAGCAACTGCCACACGCGCAGAGCCACCCGTGCTTGCAGCGGCAGCCATGCAAGCAACAG